AAAACAAAGGTTGATTCACTGGTCCAAGTGATGCTAAAGAGGTAGCCACGGCCACTGTCTAGGCATGAGAAACAGGAAGGCTTTCTGCAAAAAGCTCTAAAAACTAGTCTATACAAAGACTTCTGAGCTTAACAGAGTCTTTCTCGAACTGCAGAGTGCATACGCAACATCTGGGGAACTTGTGGAAATGTGGATTATGAGGCTCACAACAGCAGTCGGTCAGTCAGTAAGCAGAGAGCCAGGAAACTGCACCTTTAACATGTGACCCGGATGAGAGCCCTGTGGGGTACCTCAGATGGTTAGGGTATTGTCCCGATATGCCAAATTTGTGGGTTTGATCTCTGGTCAGGGCGCATATAAGCAGCAACATATAAATGCAAAAATAAATGAAACAACAACCTGAGGTGTTTCTCTCTCAAATCAATTAAAAAAAAAAGAAGAAGATGATTTTGATGCCATTAGTCACCAAGACTCTGAGAAACACTGCTTTAAAAGTTCAAAGTGCAAAAAGACTAAAACAGAGTCCCAGTCTAAGAGATGAAGGACCAAGAATTAATGAATTCAGAAACGTGGCTGACATACATGAAAGAGCAGAAAGAGCAAAAGAGCAGAAAGATCTCAATGACCATGAATGTCTATCAACCCCAAGCCAGGCCACAGCCATCCTGCAGACCCATCTCACTGACCTTGGCTGCCAAGGGTCGAGGCAGCTGTGTGGTAGGTCTCACAGTCCACACAAAATGTTCCTTGCTTCTCTGCCCCAAGCATCTCTAGCTTCCGGGTGAGGAGCTCCACGGTCTGCTGGACACTCTTGCCCTCAGCCACAGGCATCTGCGACACGCTGGAAGGGGAAGAACCAACCATCAGCATCCACAGACACAAGTGGACTCACTGAGCCACTCATCATGCACAGAATCACAGCTCACTGAGACCTTAGGGATCACCTACCACAACCCCCTTATTTGAGAATTTTATTTATTTATTTTTAGAGAGAGGGGAAGGGATGGAGGGAAACACCGATCAGCTGTCTCTCACACACCCTCAACTGAGGACCCCGCCTGCAACCCAAGCATGTGCCCTGGCCAGGTATCAAACCAGAGACCTTTCCGTTTGCAGAACAATGCCCAACTAAGCCGCACCAGTTAGGGCGCAACACTCTTATTTTAATATTTTCATTGACATATGTATGTATTTATTTATTTTTTTTAGAGAGAGGGGAAGGGTAGGAGAAAGAGAGGAAGAGAAACACCAATGTGTGGTTGCCTCTCACATGCCCCCTACCAGGGACCTGCCCTACAACCCAGGCATGTGCCCTGACCGGGAATTTAACTACTGATTTTTAGGTTCATAGGCCGCCACTCAATCCACTGAGCCACACCAGCCAGGTCACAACCCCCTTATTTTAAAGAAGAGAAACAGAGGCCCCCAGTCCCTAAGAACTAGATAGAGCACAGGCTTCAGCACTGTTACAACAGTGGAGTGAACTTCCCGTCACACCAGAACTTCCCGAGCATGGCCTGTGCGCCAACATTCAAGAGAAGCAGACTGAGCATCTGATAACACTGAGTCATGTAATGAGGATTTCCCTTACAGTTATTTCAGTTCTGACTACATCAAGGGGACAGCCTCAATCTGCAGTTAGTAGATTTTCCCCAACTCTCCAACACAGCAATTTTCAACCAGTGTGCCTCAGCAGGCACATTGGTGTGCTACAGAATTTTTTTAAAATGCAATACCTGACTATTAAGTCAGGGGCACTGACCTCTTTTCCCTAAACTGTCAAGTAAAAAAATGACAACAACCAACACAACAATAGCCATCAGTGTGAATGAATCAAAATTATACCTATATTGTCTGTCAGACTGGCAAGAAACAAACCTTTTGGTGCGCTGCAGAGTTTTACCAGTTAGTTTACGTGTGCCATGAGGTGAAAAAGGTTGAAAATCGCTGCTCTAACACTCTGATGTGCATTGTCCAGTACAGCAGCCGAAAGCCACCATGGCCATTTACAGCCAAACTAAGAAAATGAATCAAGTTAAAATTTCAACTCTTTACCTGCACTACCCACAATCTGAAGGCTCAATAGCCACGTGTGGCTGGGGGCTAGTGTAGTAAACGGCGCTGATGTAGAACATTTCCATCAGTGCAGAAAGTTGTATTCAACAGCCCTAGGAGCTAAGGGAAAGCCTGGAGTTTGTAACCTTTGGGAGTGGCAAGAATATAATCAAAACAACCAAACAAAAAAGGTTACCTCCAAGATTTCCTTCTATGCTGAGTGAAACTGGCTTCCCCTTTAGAGTGGTAATTATCGATCACCAAGCCCCAACTATGTGCCAGAAAGTGTCCAAAAGCCTGGAGATAAATTAACTACATACTCTGAATCCTTACAGCAGCCCTAGGAGATGTGCTATTATTTATCTCCTTGTCACAAATGAGAAAACCAAAGTACAGAGAGGCTGACTGACTTGCACAAGGTCACACAGCTTGGTGTGGTGTAGCCAAAACTCAAAGTCAAGCAAGCTGCCTCTGTTGTCTGTGCCCTAACTACTACACTGCTTCCCTAGGGATGTAGTTAAAATATCTTTAAGAAAAAATGCATTTAAAAGAAAACATTCATAAATAACAGTACAGGTGGTACTTAGCTATATAAAAATCAGAAAGGCAGTGACTCAATTTTGGGAGACACTGCATTACCCCAGGATCAACCAGCCAAATGAAGCAATAATGGTCCGGTCCTACTGCTGTTAAAAACTGTCTCCACGAGAAAAAGCACCGACAAGGAAGGATGATGATGTGCCTTATTTTGAAACGTAAGAGCATGCCGAAAATGATGCTGCTGGGGTAAGAAGTCCTAGGAACCTGGGAGAGTTGGTAAGGGTCCCAACAGACAGACAGCCCTTTCCCTCTGCCCCCTTCTCCACTGAAAGCAACAGGGGCTTGCAGGGTTCCAAGCCTCTGTGCTGCAGACTTGCTATCCCATCCCTCACACATGGCCCTTGCACTGGAGGACTTAGAGGAGGTCCCTGATGCCAAATGTGGGAAACAAGAGTGCAATCCCTGACAAACCTGCAGGAGCCTGGGCTGCCAGGAGGAGTTTCCACAGGCCCTCATAGGAGAAGCCTGGCCTCCCCCAGCCCTCTCTGATTGGAAATGCTCACACTTACTGATATGTCTAAAAAGAAAACAGAAAAAAGCCCTGAAATCTAGCATTTTGTAACTAATGCCTCTAAGAGCGTTACTTACACACCTTTCCCTGCCACCCTGACTTAGAACACGTTACAAAGTCCACAGAACTAGACGAATAGTGTAGAAAACATGTCCTGCAGAAATGATGTGCCTAGAACGCCAATCTCCTAATTCCCAATAGTGTTTTCCCCCTGTGGACCCCAAGATCTTAAATGGCCAAACCAGAACCAGACAGGCCGGTCTAACTACATTTACTGGCTGTAGGAAGGGGCAGGCGAAAACCCTTGAAAAGAGATACCCTCTCCTTGTGTATCCCCAAACCCCTGCAGCCCAGCCTACTGATGGGCTCTAGTCCGCACACCCTTATTTCCGATCCTTAAAGCTCCACCCCGGGCCTCACCTGCAGAAGGATGTACCAAGAAAGTGGGAAGGAGATACCCAACCTTTGATGGGTTCTGGGATGAAACCCAGGAGGAAGGGGGCACATCTCTGAGGATACAGGCCTGGAGACTCCACAGCCCTCACGGTGTCCCCCCACCCACACAATCTGAGGACTTTCGTGCTAAACTCCTCAGAGACGGCAGACCCAGTTCCAGATCCTTCTCCGGGGTACACTCCAGGCTCCGAGGGCCCTTCACGGCCCCAAGTTCCGCCCCACAAAATCCCTTGCATTCCTACCAAGTCACTCCCATGATGTTGGACAAGGAGGGTGGCAAGGCCAAACAGCTGAAACGCGGCTCCCTCCGGCAGCGGACACTTGGCGAAGCCCTCCAAAGCAGGCGTCGGTCAAGAGGTGTTGCGGAAATTACGTAAAAATAGAGCGCCCAGTGGACGCACCGGAAGGAACAGGGGCTTCTCTAGGCGTCATCTCGGTGACACCTCCATTGGTATCAGCTGGGTTGCAACATCCTGTGCATAAATCCACGAACCTTAAAAAAGCTAACGTTAAATGCAATAAGTTTATTTGGGACTCTAGCTGCAGGACAGTGAGTTCTTAGCAAATAGGGAGTCGCTGATGGCACTCCTGGCCTCCGAACTGTAGGCGGCGCTGTGGTCTGTGTAGCCTCTTGGGAGCTGGTGGTTCACCGCGCAAGCGCCCTTAGGACTTCTTCTCTGTGTCCACGTGTGAACTGTCTGGGCAGCAGTTTCGAGAAAAATGCCCAAATTCAAGGCGGTCCGCGGGGTTGGAGTTCAGGAAAAACACGCGCCCCTTGCCGAGCAGATTCTCGCTGGGGACGCGGTGCGGGCAGGGGCCCGTGAGAAGCGGCGGGGTCGCGGAACCGAAGAAGAGGAAGAGTATGTAGGGCCCCGGTTGACCCGACGGATTTTGCGGCAAGCACGGCAGCAGCAGGAGGAGCTCGAGGCCGAACATGGGACTGGGGGCAAACCCGCGGCGCCCCGGGAGCGCATCACGCGCCTGGGTGAGTGGCGCGGGATGAGTCCGAGGAAAAAGGAGGTTAAATGAGGAAGGAACGGTGTCGGACAGGGGAATAGCTTGGAATTAAAAAAAGGCGGGGGTGGGTGGCGGGCACAGTATTACGAAGGTAATGGAATCGGAGACCCAGCCCTAGAGCGGATTGAGGATAGTCAGTGCCCTCCACTCCCACTACTAGGTTTAGGCCTCGTCTTCTAAGTACCACTGTAGTCAGTCCAACCAGAAGAGATTGCCCACACCATTAAGTTCTGGTATTTATGCATTTGTTTTATGAAAACTTACGGATGTCTGCTAGTACTTAGTACTGTGCTAGGGAGTTTAGAAGGTTTGGAAAGGTAAACAAGGTAGATATGTGTCTGACATCAGCATTGTACAGTAGAGATTGTACAGTAGAGCCCCAGAGAGAGTAGACAATAGACAATGAAACTAATGAATTCCACGGTAAAGTGTAGTTTCTTCTGATAACAATAGCATTGATCTTGGGGGTCAGGCTCCCCAGACAGCATGTCCTTTGTGCTGAGACCTGAAAAACGAGTAGGGAGTGCCCTGAGCAGAAATAATATTGTTTAGGGGCCAAAGAGGGAGAAAATGTGAGTAAAGGATGATCCACATCTTTTTAGGGCGGGAGTGTTGACCTCCCTAATCCTTATCTCAGATTGTTTTGCTCAGAGTGGAACATTGGCTTCCTGGCTAAGTATCTTTACTTGGCTTCTTCTGAGAAGTATCACGTTCCTGTGTTACTACTTTCTCATCTCTCAGTATCCTTTGCTCGCTCCCCTTTGATTTCCAACCTCTTACTGAAGAGCCAGAGGGTTCAGATACCACCTATTTGGTGACTGCTCTCACCTTTATATTCTGGCCTGGTTTTCTTTCATGAAACCTAGATAGATTCTTCTGTTGCCAATTTGACATCTCCAGTTTGAAGTGTAATAGACATTTCAAACATAACATGTCCGAAATAGACCTCACCATACCTGCCCCTCTATCTTCCTCATTGCAGGTAATAGCGTGATATTTTTCCATTTGCTTAAGACTAAAACCTTGGACTTCTCTCTAATTCCACATCTGATCTGTTGGGAAACCCTGTTGACTCTACCTTCAAAATATATCCAGAATCAGACCACTTCTCACTATCTTGGAACACCATCCTCTCAAGCCACCATGATTGCTCTCTCTCACCTGGATTATTGCAGTAGCCTCCTCATTAATGTCCCATCATCCCTACAGCCCACTCTCAACTCAACAGCTAGAGGAGTACAGTGGTTTGCAAAGCTCTGTGTGATCTGCTTCCATTGCCAGTCTGACTTCTGCATTCCCCTTTTCACTCCCCACTTGTAAGCTTAAACATGGCAAGTTAGGGCCTTTGCCCTGATTGATCCTTCTGTCCTCATGCACCTGTAGGCACGCTCCCTCATTTCTTCACCTCAGAGAGGCTTCCCTGACCGCTTCCTTAAAAATTGCAACATTCCCACTCCTGTCTCCACAGTCCCAGCTTCTCTACTCTGCCCTATTGCTTTTGTCACAGCACTTGTCTTTTAACCTCTTACGTGTTAATATTGTCTGTCTTCCCCCACTAGAATATATGCTCTACAAGGGCAAAAGATTTTGTTTCTCTGGTTCATTACAATAGTTCTAGCTCCCAGAACAGGGTCTCATGTATAGTAGGCACTTAATGTTTGCCGAATGGGTTGTGTAATAAATGGATTAATGAATGCTGGTGAGGTGTGTAGAAGCCAAATCTGCAAAAGCCTTGGAGGCTGTTCCCAGGATTTTTTTTTTAAAGATTTTATTTATCTTTAGAGGGGAATGGAAGGAGAAAGGGAGAGAAATATCAATGTATGGTTGCCTCTCATGTGTCCCCTGCTGGAAACTGGCCTGCAACCCAGGCATGTGCCCTGACTGGGAATCGAACCGTGGTTGTTTGGTTTGCAGGCCTGTGCTCTATCCACTGAGCTGCATTAGCCGGGGTCTGTTCCCAGGATTTAAATTTATCATAAAGACAATGGAAAGTTACTGGAGAATGTGGAGACCAGTTAGGGGATTACTGAATTAATCCAGGCAAGAGAAGATGCTGACCTAGGATTAGTCAGAACTGGGAAGGATTTGAAAGATACTCTGGGAGGTAGAACCGAATAGGACTTGGTAATTAATTGGCTGTTGGGGTGAGGGCAGATGACACAGGCCCGCCTCCCTGGTTCTGGCATGGCACTGCGTTGGTGGCTGTGCCAGGTACTTAGATGTAGAACACAGTGAGTACAGTGAGTAGTATAGACCTAGGAGGAAAAAAGTGAATTTGGTTGGTGATAGGTGAAATTTAAAGTGCCCGTGGGTCATGCAAGGGTGGCTGTACAGGTGGCAGCTGGAGTTACAGTCTGGAGTGAAGGGACATCTACCCTTCACAGATTGGGAGACAAAACACCTGCATCGCTTGCGCTCCCCACCCCCCTCATTTAGATTTCACCACACATTCCCTCTGTTAATGACCTGTTCAGATGCAGCACTTTGTCTCCTTCATTGGAGTACTGCGTCCCTTACCGGATGCCCAACCAGCTATAGCCTTCTACTAATCGGTTATTCAAATGGCTTGGTCCACTGAAATCTGACCTGTACTGACTAACCTCAAGGCCTTCCACAGTTTGGCTTTTTACCCATCCAGCCTTATTTCTTGCTGCAGTCTAATTGTCTGTAACCAAGCCCATTTGCCAGTGTTGTAATCCAGGTTTGGAATATGTTCCGCCTGCTCCCATGCTCCCTACTGAGAGCCTAACCAGCCCCTGCACTTACCTTCTAAGTGCCTGTGGTTATATACTGTCTCTACCATTCATTTGGTGTATAATCAAGCCCTGCCCTGTGTGTAGAATACAGATGAAGAATGCACAGTCTAGATCCAGAGTACCTGTCATAAGCAAATTACCTGTTTGTGCTTTAGTGTCTTCTATCTGGAACTGGGTATAGTAATAGGGCATACTTCTTGGGGTTGTAAGAGTTATATACAGTGTTTAGAACAGTTCGTGCTACGTGACTGAGTGTAGTGTGTTAACTATGATGTATTGGCACCACTGTCTCATTGGTTCCTATATGTACATTTTCTTTCTCAAGCAGGACTGTAAACCCCTGGTGCAGGAAGATAGCATGTGCACCACTGTTTCACTGCACACACCTGTGTCTGTTACAAGCACACAGGAGGCTTAAACTGTCTGTGATGGTTACATTGACCTCTAAATCCCTCACCCACCACCTGCCTCTCTCATCCAGTTTATCTCCCCCACGCTAGGTCCAGGAATGCCGAAAGATGGATCAGATGACGAGGATGAAGAGTGGCCCACCCTGGAGAAGGCTGCCACAATGACAGGGGTGGGCCACCACGCAGAGGTTGTTGTGGACCCTGAGGATGAGCGTGCCATTGAGATGTTCATGAATAAAAACCCTCCTGCCAGGTAGGGTTGGCATGGCCTGGTATTTGGGGTATGGGTCTTGGTAAGCAACTTGCCATAGGGAAGCATATGCCCCCAACAGAGTTTTGATTTCCTTTTCTTTGGGAAGGGCCTGCGCATGGCTGGTTGTGGGGAACCACCTCAGTAACACTGACCCGTCCTCAGAGGGCCATTCTGAGTGAGAATGACAGGGACTCAGAACATCTGTGCCCACTCTGTCTGCTGTTACGGAGCTGCTCAGATTACCTGGGTAGGCAGCTGCCTGACCTTTTTATGTTTCTAGGGAGACATGTCCCATTGCATTTGCTCTTCATGTGCTCAGTTTCCCTACTGGTGACCTCAATTTCCTTAGCTAAACATCTTTCATACCCTAAGCTTCATTTTATTCAGGGTTTTTCAGCCTTAGCACTGTTGGCATTTTGGGCTGGATACGTCTTTTTTGTGGAGGCTGTCCTGTGCGATGTAGGATCCTGGCAGCATCCCTGACCTCTACCCACTGGGCACCAGTAGTGACCTTCCCCCCATTTGTGATAACCAAACATGTCTCAGGCATTGATAGATGTCTCCTAGGGGGCAAATTCACCCCCAGTTGGAACCACTAATTCATTCCTATCCATAATAAATGCCAGCTCCAACACATGCAAGCATTTAAGCTCCTGTCGTCAAACTCCCGAGCATGTGGATTTTAGCCCAGGGAAGGGGAGTCTGGGATAAGGGCCCCAAACCAGTTAATTCTGACCCTGTGGTATTAGCATGACATTGGTCTTGCTTCTCTACGCTACTTTGGATTAATGCATCTCTCAGTGCTGATAAGACAGTGAGAAGAAGGGGAGGCTGAATGATAAGGTCTGTGGTAATTTATCTGAGAGCACAGAACAAAAAAATGAGTTCCTTTCCCAGATTGATACCCAGCCACTGACGGAGACAGCACACAGTGTGGACCGGAACTTGTATGCTTGTCGCACCAGAGAGCCTCTCAGTGCCTTACGACTCCTCCTTAACAGCGCCTCTGCCATCCTTGGCAGAATGTTTTTCCAGCTTGCAGTGAACAGAAGAGTAAAGCTCCAGAAACAGGAACCCCTAGCAGTCCTGAGAAATGCCCCTGGTATCTTTAGAAAGCAGGCCTAGACCCACGCAAATAGAGGTCAGAGGCCATCGGGTTTGGCGGCTCGTCACAGTGCGCTCCGAAGAACCTGAACAGTCAGGGTTTGATTCCCCCGAGCTGAGCGTGCTGAGACCTTGGGGCAGTTACTCACCCGAGTACCTGTTCCCATGTTGAATAGGGGAACAGCACCTCACACAAGTGTTGCACGGACTGTGTGAGATAATATCTGGGAAGTCCTGTACTCAGTGCGTGGCCTTGAGACAACCTGCAGAAAACAGGAGCCGTTTTAAATATACTTTAGCAGCTTCTGAAGAAGCTATTCTTAAACCAAAGTTTAGTGTAATGAGAATTCTGAGTCATCACAATAAAAATTATGTTTGATGTACTTTTCAAGGAGGCTGAGGAAAATATTATTAATCTTAGAACTACTTGCATAAATTTTAATAAAATGGTGGGAAGTTTGTGCTCTGGTCTTTTTCTAAATGAACCCAGCTACTTTGAAATCTTCGTATACAGCTAGGATGAGTGGCACTCTAAGGTGAGCGGTCAGACCTGGGTTCTGTGGTCTGAGAGACCTCAGCACGTTGCCAGCCTATGAGGAATGTGTCTGAGACAGGCACCACTCATTACATGTTTATGTACGAGCATTACTTCATTGAATCCTGATGTTGACTTTACAAGATAGGTACAGTTATTACCCTGTTTGACAGATGAGGAAACTGAGGCATAGAGAGGCGAAATAGCATGCCCCAGGTCATACAGACTATGGGTCATACAGCAGTGGGAAGGCCAGGATTTAAACCCAGGCAGACTGGCTTCAGAGTCCAGGTTCTTATTCTCCACACAACTGTCCGCTTCATCCTAAATTGAATGACTTTCAGGTCATTTGTGCTCTGCATCAGTCCTGCGGTGGGTGGACAGGCCTGGAGGGGAATTGAGGTCAATCCTAGCAGGATGACAGGTTCATTGGAGCTCATAAGGGACTGTGCGCAGCGTCTAGAGCTTCCTGGACTGTGACCACAGCACTCCCACCCACTTCCCCCCCTTTCCCTCCACACCTCCTTACCCTTAGGCGCACCCTGGCTGACATCATCATGGAGAAGCTGACTGAGAAGCAGACGGAAGTTGAGACCGTGCTGTCCGAAGTGACAGGCTTCCCTACGCCCCAGCTGGACCCCCGGGTCCTGGAGGTCTACAGAGGAGTCCGGGAAGTAAGCCGGGATACCCTCACAGGGGCTGTAGATTCCCCCCTAAGATTTTGGATGCTCACACGTCATACACAGAAGGCCTGATGGCCAAGAACAGTCTTAAGTCAGAGTGTATGGGTTCAGGGTCCTGCTGTTCCACTTAGTGACTTGGAGCCCATGGGCAGGTTTCTTAACTCTGGTTTCAGTTGCCCTGTCTGGAAAGTGAGGATGGTAACAGCATCTCCTTACATGGTGGCTGTGAGGATTAAGTGAGTGAAGATATGACAAGCACATGGCAAGCAGTACACAAGTGATATGTTAATTGCAATGATAATTTTACTCACTCACTCCCTAGGTGTTATCCAAGTACCGCAGTGGGAAGCTGCCCAAGGCGTTTAAGATCATCCCTGCGCTCTCTAACTGGGAACAGATCCTCTACGTCACAGAGCCCGAGGCCTGGACTGCTGCTGCCATGTACCAAGCCACAAGGTAGAGTAGATGGGGGTTAGAATGGCCTTATGTCTCTAGGTAAGGGCTGGGGTGTGGAGAGTACAGGCTTTCCTCTCCTTTGCCATTACATTTTAACTTGGCCTCAGAGCTTTCTGTTGTGCTTATTTATATCATCATTTTCCAGCTTTTCATGTTTCATGTTTGGGGGTCAAGACCCTATTGACACTGTCCTGTGATGTGTTTCTAGGGAAGAGGGTACAACCAGGGCTACAACCCTGGTATGTCAGCCTGGCCTCAGAGGCCTACGGCTCCCCAGGCATGCTCAGGTCCCGTGAAGGGTAGAGAAGACCCACAGTGGGGAGAGGAAGGTGAATAGCGGAATAATCATCGGTTCGGGAGTGATCCAGCTCTCTCAGTGTTCACCTGTTTGGATACCTGTTGTGCCTCTCCTGTTCCTTCTGATCCGATGTGGGTGTGGCGTGCACACAGCTCACACACTCGCACAGACCCCTCAAATCTCTTGCATACACCATTTACAGTGAGAGTGAAAGGGCCAGTTCCAGACCATCCAGTGACCTGGGATCTCCCTGCTGCTGTCCCCCTTCCCCAAAAAACTAGGATTTTCGCCTCTAACCTGAAGGAACGCATGGCCCAGCGCTTCTTCAACCTTGTCCTGCTCCCCCGGGTACGGGATGACATTGCTGAATACAAACGACTGAATTTCCACCTCTACATGGCACTCAAGAAGGCCCTGTTCAAGCCTGGAGCCTGGTTTAAAGGTGAGAACCCAGGAGGCAGTTATGAAAGAAAGGGAGGGGCTGGAGTTCCCGAAGTGAGAGCACCAAGGTTGACTTGGGCGGATGGCTGCCTCCGAGGTAGGCAGGGGCGCTTCCTGCTGTACCTGCTTTTTCTCAGCCTGGGCTCCCAGTGACGACCCGCTTGGTCCTCCCCAGGGATCCTGATCCCACTGTGTGAGTCGGGCACCTGTACCCTCCGGGAAGCCATCATCGTGGGTAGCATCATCACCAAATGCTCCATCCCCGTGCTGCATTCCAGGTAGTGTTGGTGGGGAGGGAGGAGGACTAGTCAGTGGACTCACCAGAACTTGAAAAGTTGGTGGGGGGACAGAGTGGAGGAGGAGCTAATGATAGCCCTGGGTTTGTGGCTTTTTGAAGCCAGTAAGTGTGCCATCCCCCTACTAGATTGTAAATCCCACAAGAATAGGCCCCTGGCACATGGTAGGTGCTCAGTAAATAGTTGAATGAACGAATAGAGAATATGGGAAGAAAATAGGCTAGGGGTGGAAATGTTGAGATATTTGGACAGACTGTAGTAGAATACTGACAAGCAGTCTGAGCCAGAGGTGGGGATTTGTGATGCATCAGCACAGAGCTAACTGGAGTGCAGGGAGGATGATCAAGACTGCATGGCTGAGAGGAAGGCCTGAGCTGGTGCTCTTCGGGACTTGTAGGGGCCAGCAGAGTAGGGAGAAGTAGAGCCTCTTCCCCAATTTTTCCCAATCACTAACCTGCCTGCACCTTCCTGCCAGCGCGGCGATGCTGAAAATTGCTGAGATGGAATACAGTGGTGCCAACAGCATCTTCTTGCGACTGCTGCTAGATAAGAAGTATGCACTGCCCTACCGCGTGCTGGATGCGCTGGTCTTCCACTTCCTGAGGTTCCGGACAGAGAAGCGTGAACTACCTGTGCTCTGGCACCAGTGCCTCCTGACTTTGGCCCAGCGCTATAAGGCAGACCTGGCCACAGAGCAGAAGGAGGCCCTCCTGGAGCTGCTCCGGCTGCAGCCCCATCCACAGCTGTCCCCTGAGATCAGGCGTGAGCTTCAGAGTGCAGTACCCCGGGATGTGGAAGATGTTCCCATCACCATGGACTGAGGAAACACTCATCCTGGTCTGAGGGGCACGGGAGGACACCAGGATCCCCGTCTGGTGACTAACAGTGACATTGAGCCTTTGTAGCTAAAGACCCAGTTTTGGGCAGTGACGGCTCATGGGCATCTGGGACTCCCCAGAACCTGACGGGGGAGACTGAGCGTCTGGCTGCTCCTTTTTCCATCCTAGCCCATCGCTCCTGCCCATTTCTGGAACCTCTTTGAGATTCCACACCCAGCATTCCCACTGCCCTGCTTGGGCTTGGAGTGCTTTTCTCTATCAGGCTGTTGTGTCACATCACTGGGTTGTGGATAAAAAGGCAGGTATTTATTGAGCTTCTGTGTTTTAATGTGATTAGTGGAGATCTTTCTGTTTTCACTTTATCTGGAGGTAGGAATTACTCTTCAAAGTTCCCCCTGTCCAGGAGTGCCTTCGTACCCAGTTTATGCAGGAAGCCCTCCCCACCCTTACTCTGCAGTCTTGCTTCTCCAGGCTGTACCCAGCGTGAGCTCCTGGCACAGTCTCTGCCTCTCCCCAGTGCAGGCTGCCTGGGAGAATGCCAGCAACCAGGGGGTGGTTCAAAAGATGGTGTCTCAGCTGCGGATGGAAGAGCTAGAGAAGGCCCCTAGAGGGGAGTGGAAATACAGAGGCCAGACAGAGAATACTGGTTGTGCCCAGGTCTGGGCCACCACCAGACAAGTTTGCTTTCTAACTTCTTGGCTGCTGAGGACTTTAGACCAGTGATTAGCAAACTAAGGTCTTATGGCCTATGAACTAAGACTGATTTTCATCTTTTAATGGGTGGAAATTTTCTTAAACTATTTTGTGACAGGTGCCAATTGCGTGAAGTTCAAACTTCACTGTGCAGTTTTACTGGAACACAGCCACTGCGTCCTGTCTACGTGTTCCCCGCGGTTGCTCTCGTGTTGCAGTAGCAGAGTGTAGTCCTGTAGCCTTTGTTCACCTTTGAAAAGCGTGAATTTTCTACAGCCAAATTCATATATTTTGGGAAAATGTGATCTCATATGTGCAGTTTCGTCCTTGAGAAACACGTAAAATCAGAAAACCACACCCAGCTGAACCAAACCAGATAAAGTATATACATCTCCAATGTGTGGGCTGGGAGCCACACCCACATCTGGTGTTGAAACCCACCTTCCACATCCTTCCGATCTCTTTCCATAAGCTCTCTTCAGGTCTTTTTGAAGATAAGGACTGTTTATTGTATTGGGTTGGCCAAAAAGTCCTTTTAGTTTTCTCCAGAAAATAAAGACACATTTTTTCATTTTCACCAATAGCTTTATTGATTTGGATATTTTGAGTGTCAGCTATTTCCCATGTGGTATAATGTTGCCATCGTTTAATGCCTCGATTTGATCACTGTCAGTTTGAACTGGTTCACCTGAGTGGAGCCTCATCCAGTGAGAAATCGCCAACATGAAACTTCAGACCATTTTTGACACGTTTGATCAGTCACAGCACCTTCTCCATACATTGCTCAAATCTTTTGCCTTCCAGTTGCATGTTTACCTTTCTTGAAATGATAAAGCATAATATGCTGAAAATGTTTTCCACATTTATTAAAATAGCCACCCCAAAATTCACCAGTTTGATGTTTTTCTTAAAAACTGTACAGATACAACAGCTGTCACAATATAGTAACAAAATAGTTTCAGATGAAGATGACTAAGTGCTACTAGCCATCTCACCAAAAAAAAAAAAAAAAAAACCCCAAACTTTTTGGCCAACCCAATGTTTCTTCAGTGTGTAAAAACTATGCTTCAAAACAAAAAACCCCATTGAGTGTTGTCTCTTAAGCCCATAAAGTTCTGTGGGTTTTGAGTTTTGCATAGTGCATTGATTTTTAGGAATGCATGTTCCATTATAACATAAAACTGACTATATGCAGGGCAGATAATATAACCCACAAGCCTGAAATATTTTTTCTCTGGCCTGTTACAGAAAAGGTTTAATGAACCTATTTGAGGCCACTGATTGCTGCTTGCTATACTTGATGCAGTTTAGAAATGGGCCTTTATCCACACCACCATCCAATCCAAGAAGCCAAGGCCACTATTATACCACAATCTTTATTATTAAAGGCCTGTGTCAACAGGGCTTGCCTCCCTTCAGACAGGGCACTCGGTCACCTCCGGGTCATCCCTGCTTCATCCCCTGCTGAAGGAAAGGGCAGAGGGCCAAAAGGAGAGGGCCTAATGCCTCCCCAGGCTGAAGTAGCTCCTCAGTCCCAAAGATCCTCTAGTAGCAGAGGGGAAGGATGCAGCAACCGCCAGGATTACCACCTCTTGTGGGGCAAGTGGGCCCCACCACACTCTTACAGCTGTATTCAATGCAATTAATAAATTAAAACCACTCTTCCTTCAGCACTGACACCCCTCCCCCATCACATAGGAGAAGCTGAGTGGAAAGCAAAGCGAGGAGGAATCTGTTGATTCTTGAACCTCTGATGACAGAGGCCTGCCCTCTAGGAGCAGCTGTTATCTTGAATGATGCAGGGCTCTCCAAAGTATGTTGAGAAGAGCTGTCCAGACTGTGTCTCTCAGAATATTGGAAATTTCTTCAGAAAGACCCCAATCCAAATGCAGTAATTCTAGAAGGTGCAGCACCTTTATAAGGCACCAGGGTATTTTGGAGAACATGAGAGCCCCTGAGACAAGGGGGCCTCAAAAAGGAATGCTGGTACATATATTTCACCTAATTCAATTTTGTCTCTGACAAGCCTGACCCACCCACAGCCAGGGAAGGAGACAAGCTGGTCAGAGGCAGGGGGAAAGAGGGGCCTGACTAGCCACCCAGATGTGGCTGGCCAGGGCCCCTTAGTGCACACTGCAGGAATAGGTAGGACCTGCCCCTTTAGCAAAGGGAAAACAGGAAGGAGCCCCCGCAGACTTCAGTCGTCTGTTCTTGGCAAGCAGGGAGGGGGGCGGTGGCTCTGTCTCCTCTGCTGTCAGTGGCCACTAGAGGGGGGCCTCTCCAGGGCTACAGATGGATGGCTGTGACTTCTGTGGGAGTGCTGGTCTGGCTGGGCCCCTGGCTGCCAGAGCCCCTGGGGGCTTTGGGTGCTGGGCTGGGGGAGGTCTGGGCAGCTTCCCTGAGGCTCTCCCTGAGTGCAGCTTCAATCTGCTCCTGACAGGCCCGCAGGCAGTCCTGGGAACAAAGGGGAACTGTGAGGAGGGACTGCTGGGTGAAAGGGAGGAAGGTCCCCTTGGAGCTAAAGGTCCACTCCCCTCCCCACCACAGCGTATGGCAGCAGGTGCCAAGGATGGACACCTCCCAGTGCACTAGGAGGTCTGGGGAGTTAGGCCACAGCCCAGCCCCAGAAATCAGCCTTCAATTCTCAGAAACTGGCAAGAGGATGTGGCAAGAGAGTGTGAGAGCAGCCCTGCATCTGACACCAAACCCCCACCCCCGCTCCTGCACACCATTTGCCTGGAATAGTGCCTGTCCTTCAGCTGGCCCAAGACTACTTGCTGTCCACACCAAGGCAGGAGATAAAGGCCAAAGAAGCCCCAAGGGCAGGCTACATGAAACCAGGAATGTGGATCAGGTTAAAATGGACGCCTCCCTCTGCTGGAGGCTCAGGGAATAGCGGTGCTTTGTGAAGTTAACAGGCTGCCTCCCAGCTGCCCAGCACTCACCACTTCAGTGCCTGTGATCCCTGCCAGCAGCTCCGTGAGCTCATCTCCGGATATGGAGCAGGCACCCAAGCCTTGCACTGCAGCCCCAATGCTGCCTGTGGCGATCATGGATGGTGGATACATGGCAAAGGTATAATCTTGGAAAGAGGGAGAGGGAACTGTGAGACAAGGACAACATCAAGACTAACAGCCAGCATAAATAGAGCAGGGGTCATTCTGGAAAATGCCTGCAGTGAGCAGTGTAAGACTCCCAGGGGTCAGGGAGAAAGGTGGACAAGGTCCTCTCCTAGAGTGTTGGGGTGAACAGCAGACTGTGTGGGTCAGGTCCAGGGTAGTCCTTAAGTGATCCTGGCTAGGAACCAGAGTGAAATGAGTCCCTGGCCTAGAAACAAAACTAGGGTCAAGGGACCAGAGTTCTCTCCAGCCCTGAGTCCCTACTTACATATGTACTTAGGTCTCTAAGATCCCACATGGCTCTGTGTTCTACTTCTTTCCTGTATTGAAACTGGAGGTTCAGAGGGGATATAATTTTCACAAATTCTGAAAGGCATGTAAACCAGAACTTCCTAGTTACTGCTGATCCTTCAGTCTTGATTTTCCTGATTCAGCAAAAAATGTACCTAGAGATAATTACCTGTGGCACAGAGGGCCAAAAAGGTCTGAGCATGCTTTTTGACCAAGGCCTGTCGGTCACTGGGCAGAGAAAGCCGGTGCAGAATCAGGGCCAGGAAATCATGGGCAATCACAGCAGCCAGGTCCCACTTGAGCTTCCCCAGGACCAGCACCTCCCAGTCCTGGAGGATGGAGAAGAAGGTGGGGTCAGTGGCTTAAGATGGGAAGGTGGTAAAGCAGAAGGAAGCCCACCAACCTTGAAGGTCAAGACCCCTATTCTGCTTCTGGGCGATGGGGGAGTCCAGGGCAGAGAAAAGCCAGGACATTTACTTTGAGCATCTATTCATCAGTTACCAGGTGCCAGACTACATGCTGTACATGAATTTTTAATCCTATTTGGTTCTTTGGGGGGCCAATACAGGCCTTCTCCTGACTTCATCCGGGGCTCTGGGCACTTCTCCAAGCCAGGACTGAAAGAGAAGACTGAAGCAACAGATACACCAGCATCGCCATGAACTTGAGGCTCCAAGGATTTGTAAACGGGAAAAATCACCACTAGCCTCTCCCCCAGCTCTGCATCCCAGGCAAACCTACACCTCTTGAAGAAACTGGAGTGAGCACGAGCCACTGAACCAGCCCTGAGGTTCCTCAAAGGGAAGGTTGCCCAACCCAGCCCACATCCCCTTGGTGGGACACGAGGGTTGGGCCCTGAGTTATAGCACCCCGCTCCACCCCCTTTAGCTGGAACCCATAGTGCCTAGTGCCATTTGAGTCTCAGATGGGGAGGCCAGGATGGGTCTGGATGATCCCTGAGACCAAACCCTATCTCCACCTGCCCAAGCATGCACACCCCTCCTGGGTCCCAGGGGGAGGCTGAGAGCCCCACCCCAATCCACTCGTCTGGGGTTCTCAGCCGTGGCCCCATTTTTGAGTTGCACACATGAAAATTTCTTCATTGTTTTATCTCAGGAAGGAACTCACGGGCTTGACCCCTTGCTAATGCAGAAATGGCAACCCCACCCAACCTCTCCCAGGCCCCGCCTCAGTGTCATCCTCCCAAATCAGCCCCAAGCCTCTCTCACAGGGCCCCACAGAAAAGAGCCTGGCCTGAAGCCAAAAGAAGTTGAGCAGAAAAGCTAGCATTATATTCCTGGTGCTTTTCCCAGGGGCTCAAAACTCCTAACTCAGAAGTGAACAGAAAAGTTACTGCCTGGAAGGCAACTTGGGAGTGGGGCTCACCCTGCAGGGAGGCATGGGGTCCTGTGTGAAGGAGGGTGGCCACCCTACCCTGTATCCAGGCAACCCCTGAGAATCGAGCCCTAGTTTGGCAGACCCTAGGAGGGATTAGTTGTTGTAGCTGGCAGCTTCTGTCATACCCCCAGGCCTTTAAGGCCACCTGGGCTAGCCAGGAGACCCAGATTCTTCCTCACCCTTCCTGCTGAGCAGGACACTTCCTTCCTTCTGTAGGCCTCAGCCTTCCCCGCCGCACAAGCATTTGGATGAAGTTCTCGGAGGTCCCTTCCGATTCTTACCTTCTAGGAAGCCATCTGCACGCACTACCCCCAGCTCAGGCAGAGGGAGTAGGGGAAAGAAAACTTTTTGTTGTTCTAAAAAACTTCCCTCATACAAAGGCACACATACCATCCCAATCTTTTCACAAAAAATGAAGTCCCCTTCTACCTTCCAGCCCAAAGCCCTCTGAAAACATCTTGCTTGCTGGCCCTGGAAACCATCTCCACCTTCAGACTTGCCAAAACTACCAGATTCATCACAAAGAGCTGTGGGGCCTCCCAGATTCCCAACTCCGGCCTCCTACTCCCATCTCTCAGAGCTACTTGGCAGGAAGAGGAATCCTGTTCCTGGACAAGCAGCAGTCGGGGGCCCCAGTACCCTGGCTTCCCGGCCAGCCAATCACAGCAGCCTGCATGCTGCCCTCCTCCCCGGGAGATGGGGCCCAGAGACTCCTCTCAGGGTCAGAAGACTTGCCAGTGCAGAGCAAGGTTGAGGAAGGTGCCCACTCACCCACCCTCTCCCGCAGATGCCCCCAGAGGTGATCCGCACATCCTAAATAACCTCTTCCAGATCCGAGCAGCTCCCCCACCTCCTCTCCAGGCTTTGGGAAAAGAGAACGGGTGACTTTCCTGCCCTACCTCGGAAGAACCCACCCCAAGTTCCCAGCAAGAGGCCCAGGGAGCCACTTCCCAAACCACAGGAGTGACAGCAGCTCCCCACAGGGTTATGAAAGACCTTGGTCAGAGTGGGCGGGCCAGGGGAGGGGGCATCATTATCACATCGGAAGCAGCTGCAGTTCAGCTCCCTGTCTGTCCCTTGGCTCTGGCCTTTGGCTAAGGAAAAGGGAGAGATGATTCCACCAGGCCTGAGGCAGCTGCTGAAGTTCCTCAGAATGAGGATTAGGAAGGAGCCGTCTCTTCTGGGATATAAGAGGAAGGAAATAAGGTGAGATGAATGAAACTCCCTGGCCCTTCCTCAGAGCAATTGGGGCTGGGCTTTAATCTGCTCTGGGAGGCTTTTCAATCACAAAGTCCACACTGGAATAAAGACTCACCCAAAGCAGTCCCCCTCCCCCACATGAAAAGCACATTCCACTCACCCACTCCAGTGGGGGTGTGCAGGCGTGTCCTGCTGCTGCCAATAAATAACTCATGATGGTTGTGTAAACCCAGAGGCAAAGTATTAGTGAGTGTAGACATGCAGTTTGACTTGTTGCTATCTGGGGGAAAGACCAAGGAGTGGCACCCCCTGGAGGTCAGGAGAAGGGAAGTTAGTTCATGCTGTCAGCTTAAGCCTGGGCTAGGGTGGGGGGCTACTCTACCATCACACCACACTGTCCCGTCTTTTGTCCGAATATAAGGTCTCTTTGGCCCTGAGCCCTTCCCCAGGGGCAAGAAAGCCTGAGGTCTTAGCTTTCCTTTTCCTCTGTAGGGGAGAAGCTGTATGTGCTGGGGGCGGGGGAGTTACGCACGCACCCGCATCTGGCGGGGAGAGACAGCGTGGTCGGTGTAGATGCACAATTTTTCGATGGTCAGTGGAGTAGTCTCGCGCAACTTGGAGGCCAGCAGCATGCAGACTGCCCCCAGGAGCTGCAACTGCGCCTTGGGGGTGGGGACACAGGACAGGTAGCGATCCAGGTAGTTCATGGCCAGGGGGAAGACTTCCTCCTCACAGCGCTGCTCCTCACATACCTGGGCGGGGAGGACACACAGTCACTTCTGGGCAGGGGCTTGGAAAGCACAGAATCACTAAAGGTCAAAGGAGGGTCGCTGAAGGGAAGTAGGAGTGGAAGCAAAAAATGGGGAGGGGGGAAATGTGCTTACAATGACAAGGACTAAGACGGAGGATGCGCTTTCCCCAAGGTTACTCCCCCCACTTCCTTAGTGTTGCTTCCTTCCCCCCTCCAAGGGATGGGGGGGGGGGGGTGGGTTAAGCCAGAGGCTGCCTTAAGAACTCAAAACTGAGACTCCCCTCCCCCATGGTGATGTCCAAGAGTTACCCACGGTAGCCAAAGAGCTGAGACGTTACCCCCATTACCCCCACGCACAGAACCAAAAGGAAGGGAGGAGACTCCTGCCACTGCCTCCCGCACTTTTCATTTCCCTGACGCCGGAACAGCGCGCGCGCCACCCCCACCGCCTATCCCCGCCAGAACCCCGCGACAGACACAGGAACCGGCTCCGGGCGGGGGTGGGGGCGGCTGAGCCCAGGGTTTTCCAGGAGCGCTCTTTCAAGACGGGGCGGGAAAGGGAGGCAGGAGACTCCAAAGAAGCCGGAGGGAATAACGTGGACCCTGTCCCGCTTTCCTGGCCGGAAGAGAGGATTAGTTAGGGTGCCAAACCACTGGCAGGCAAAGTTGGGGTTGGGGAAGGGAAAGAAAAAGGAACACTACAGAGGCGGCCGGCTAGGGTGCCGAGTAAAAGAAAGGTCAGGCCCAGGGGTCTGGGCAACTGAAGCATCTCGCTGATTGTTGCTGAGATCAGGATGTCCCAAAAGGGCGGCCCTGGGATGTCCGGAGCCGAGGACGTGGGGCGGCGGGGGAGGGGAGCCAAGTCCAGGAGGTACCTCCAGCATCCAGTACGCCAGCATCTTCCGCATGTGAGGCTTGATCTCCCTCTGCACGCACTGAAAGTAAGAGGCGCCGGGCACGTAGCGCTCCTCCAGACGGAGCAAACTCTGCAGGACACGCTGGTCCCCTAACAGCCGCGGGTCCGGCCCGGCCCGGGGCGCGTGCCGGGTGCCCTCACAGCACAGCAGCTCCATATTTCGGCAGCGCACGGGAAGGACGGGAGTGCGGGCTCGCGAGCCAGAACGCAGGCGGCGGGCCGGGAAGCGCGGGGTGCGGACTTGCTGCTCGTGCTGGCACTGCGCGGTGGAACCCCGGCCCGCCTGCGCCAGCGCGCGCCGCTTCCCTGACAGGCGCCCGGCCCCTCGCGACGATGTAGCAACGGTGGAATGCTCTAACGTCACACGTTCCAAGGGGCGGGACCGCGGCGCCCCAGACGGAAAGGGCTGGCGGGCGCCCCACCCCCTCTACCCCGGCGGCCGCATTGGTCGCCAGAGCGCGGGCCTGCCGGCTTCCGGTTGCCCCGCGCCCTTCAGACCACCCGGTGGAGAGAGCTTTCTTGGAAGTGGACCTCTTCCCCACCAACGAGCCCTCTAATCTCACTTCTCTGACCCAGGAAAGAACTTTTCTCCAAAGGATATTCATTCATTGGTCAAACCCTGCTTCACCCGCTGCTTGCTCTAGGGAACATAAAAACTAATAAAATAACTAGTTCTTAGCGAACACTGTTCTAAGTACTGTGCAATAACAAATCCACAAAGACTCAATGACTTAGGTATTACACTTATTTTGCAGATAAGGAAACTGAAGCATACTAACAATTATTAGTCTGCTGCAGAGGTAGGGCTGGGAAGCCGGCGGTCTGACTCCAGAATCTGCTCTCTACCATTAGAACCCCATTGCTACTGCATTGCTGCTGTGATTCCAAAGGCCGCACCATCTGCACGGCCTCAGAGCTGCTTAGAAATGCAGACTCTTAGGCCTCTGCCTGACCTGCGGGATCAAAATCTGCATTTCAACAAGACCCCCGCTGATTCCTGTGCACATTCAAGTGTGAGAAGGCCTGGTCGAAATCAGCACATTACAGAAATACAAGAGGAGGGAAAGGCCATGGTTTCAAGGCCTCACCTTGTCGTTAAGTCTGCTGTGTGGCCTTGGACAAGCCCTGAAAGTTGGCCTTAGGTTCTGTTTGAGGAAAACGTGGGCGGAGAAACTAGATCCTCTCTGAAAGAGTTTCTTCCTCAGACTCTATAAAATCCTCCTACTGCCATTTCTTCTACTTCCCAAATTTTGGATTACTTTGTAATTTCCCCCAAGCTGGATTCCACATGACCAAGAGGCAGACCACAGGCCTCCAGTAATGCTCCCAGTGGGAGGCAGCCTTGGGGAATTCCTGCCTTTCCAGAGGTCCCCCTGAGGGAAAGGACACTAAGGAAATGAGTTACTGGAGTAACAACATTGTCTAGAAGAGGAGGGTTCTCTGAGAAACAGGTTCTCAATGAATTGTTCTTTTTTATATAATAAACTGTAGTTCTAATATCATGGAAATACTCATTTGTGCTGTAGAGGACTGAAATACAGATTAAGCCACACACAAAAAAGGAAAATAATTACTTGAAATTTGACCACTCAGAGATAACCTTTCAAAATGTAAATATTTTTCTAAAATTGTTGTACTTTTAAAAATGAGATCATTGAAAACTGTTTTATAAGCTTTTTTCCTCACTTAAAAAATTGCACTGTTAGCACTTTTCCATGTCATTAATATTCAACATTATTTTTAATGATTACAAGTATGCCATTAAAGGAAGGCATTTTATCAAACATGTACTGTTGGAAATTTAAGCCATTTCTAGATCTTCCTTGTAAGAGAATAGTGTGAAATATTTTTGTGTACACCCATGATTATCTCTAGAAGTGAATTTTTACAAGTAGAATTTCTCAATCTAAAGTTATGAACTATTCTAAGGAGTTTTTTTTTTAGATATTTCCAAATTTATTTTTCAGTTATAGCTGGCATACAATATTATACTAGTTTGGGACATACAACATAGTGGTTAGCCATTCACATAAGTACGAAGTGAACCCTCCATAAGACTGTATTACCCATCTGACACCACACAGTTATTACAATGTCACTGACTATATTCCCTATACTGTACTTTACATCCCTGTGATGACTTTTATGATTGGCCATTTGTACTTCTTAATCCCTTTCACCTTTCTCCCATTTCCCCAAAGTCCCTCCCATAAATCTCATTCTAATTTCCCTGCTAAGAGGCTGAACCAATCTAATGAACAGACATTAGACATCTACATTTTTTTTAAAATTTTATTTATTTATCTTTAGAGGGGAAGGGAAGGAGAGAGCGAGAGAAACATCAATGTATGGTTGCCTTTTCATGCGTCCCCTGCTGGGAATTGGCCTGCAGGGAACTGGCCTGCAACCCAGGAATGTGCCCTGACTGGGAATCGAACCGCGATTGTCTGGTTCGCAGGCCGGCGCTCAATCCACTGAGCTACACCAGCCAGGGCTGACATCTACATTTTTTTAAAAACCCTCTGCCAACTGGAAAAGTGAAGTGTACTTTATCAGTAGTAAAATACACATGTATTTGTTTTCCGTTCAAGAGCTGTTGTCCCAGCACGTGTGTCACGCACGCCATCCAATCGTGTGAACCTTTTGCTCCTACCTTCCAAAGCACAAAAATGAGCTGTTAGTTAATTAATCATAACACTGCACTCTTCATTAAAGAGAACAACATATTTAAGATTACAGAGAATAGACATGAAGTTATGGGGAGATAAAGATGTTGAAGTGTAAGAGGTTTTTTAGGGTACAGGAGAACTAAAATATATAGCTTTTGAAATAAGTACATAACCAGGAACCAGATCTGCCCAGAAGGATTTCTTTACTTTCAGAATTACTGAGTAGCACTGTTCGGGTTATAAGGTTGTTTATCTTTGATGAGAAAGTAAATGACCATTTAGAAAATATTTTCCAGTTTCACTGAGGTGTAACTGTCATGTATCACTGTATTAGTTTAAGGTGTACAACATGACTTAGTATATGTGTAAATTGCAAAATGATTACTGCAATAAGTTTAGTTAACATCTACTACATAATTACAACTTTTTTTCTGATCAGAATTTTTAAGATCTTTTAGCACCTTTCAAGTATACAATACAAAACCACTAACTATCGTCCCTGTGTTGTACATTATGTTCCCGGCACTTATTTATCTAATAGCTGGAAGTTTGTACCTTTTAACCACATTCACCCATTTTGCCTTCTTCCAGTTCCTACCTCTGACAACCACCAATATGTTTTCTATTTCCCTCAGTATGGAGTTTTACATTCCACATATACATGAAGTCATATAGTATTTGTCTTTCTCTGACTTATTTCATTCAGCATAATGCCTTCAAGGTCCATTCATGTTGCTGGAAATGGCAAGATTTCCTTCTTGTGTGTGACTGAAATAATATTCCACTGGACAGATGCCTCAGATGTTCTTTATGGAGAAAGAAAACTGGTGAGATGAAAAGCAGTTTTATAGTAATAATACTTTCAAAATTCATTGGACATTTATATTTCTTATGAAGATAATGACCTATTCATTCCCTTTGCCCATTCTTTTATAGAGATACTTGTTATTCTTATTGATGTATAAGTGCTCATACTTTTGAAAAAATTTTTTAAAGATTTGTATTTATTTATTTTGAAAGAGAAGGGAAGGAGAAGGGGATGGAGAGAAACATCAGTCAGGGGGTTGCCTCTCGCATGCCTCCTACAGGACCAATCCGTAAGGGAAGAATACAGAACCCAAGCTTGTGTCCTGACCTTGAATAGAACCCGCGACCTTTCGCTTTGCAGGCCAGTGCCCAACCTACTAAGCCATGCCAGTCAGGGCACTCATTATATTTTAAAGATACTCTTTTTAAATTTTTTCTTTTATCATATATCTTACAGATTTTTTTAGTTCACTGTTTGCCTTTTATTTTTGGCTTATGGTAGAGTTATTGTTCTTATTTTTTAAATGATTTTAGCCCTGGCTGGTGTGGCTCAGTGGATTGAGTGACAGCCTATGACCTGAAAGACTGCCGGTTTGATTCCAGTCAGGGCACAGGCCTGGGTTTCCAGCCAGGTCCACAATTTGGGGCATGAGATGCAACAGATCTATACACCTCTCACACATTGACGTTTCTGTCCCTCTCTTTCTCCCTCCTTCCCTTCTCTCTAAAAATAAATAAATATTAATAAAAATTAATTATTTTAGAAAGAGAGAAACATCAACTGGTTTGTTCTACTTATTTATGCATTCATTCACTGGTTGTTTCTTGTATGTGCCCTGACTGGGGATTGAACCTGCAACCTTGGCTTATCAGTGGTGACACTTAACCAACTGAGCTATCTGGCCAGTGCTGGTAGAGTTATTTTTTTTTTTAACAAATAGAAAGTTTTATTTTTATGTAGCCTTATTTACTAATATTTTGTTTAAGGACTTCTGCCTTTGAAGCATGACTTCCCCACTGTAAAATTATACAATTACTAGAAGAAAAGGTAGGAAATACTTATAGATGATTTTTTTAATACCATGGAGCTTGTTGAAAGTGCAGATTTCTGGGCTCTGCTTCAGGGCTTTATTTCTTGTTTTTAAAACTTCATTTACTTATTTTTAGGAAGAGGAGAAGGGAGGGACAAAGAGAGAGAAAAAAATATTGATTGGTCATCTCTCATGCCCCAAGGGTGGGGTGGGGTAGGGGTTGTTCAACCCAGGCATGTGCCCTGACCAGGAATTGAACTGGTGTGCTTTTGGTTGTTGGGACCACATGAATTCCACTGAGCCACACCAGTCAGGGCAGGCCTTTTCATTCTTCAAGTCTATGATGAGGCTCTGAAAATATGCACTGTCAAGAGTATATACAATACAAGTTTTATTTTTAATGTGTAAATTGTTACCTACATTTATTCAGTGTATAACATTAGGTGAGGATCTATTTATTTCCCCCAATTATCATCCAATACATCCTACAGCACTGATTTAACAATCTGTTCTTTAGTTCATTCACTTCCCTGTTATAAGTGCTACTGGGTCTGGTTCTTGCATCTTAGATGATGCCTTGTTTTAATCATTCACAGCTAAAGACTTTCATGGAGAAGTAGCCCTCAGAATTCCTGCCACTTTTGCCTAAGAAATCTCAGCTGGTCTTGATCCAATTAACAGGGATAAGGGTGCTTACTAAAGACACCAAAAGCTCATTTAGTCTGAAATAACCACTGCCCTCCACTTCTGGAGAGAACTGATTTTCAACTGTAGCAAAAGGGATGCAAGTTAGATAACAGGGAAAACTCCAATTAGACGATGATATAGGATGAAGAGAG